GGGGGGGGAGAGATTGTACAATGGGGTAATAATGAAGGGATTTGGGGCGAGGACAGACGGGTGCGGAAGGAAAATGGCATGAGTTGTAGCAAACGTGAATGCCCCGAGTCCTTAAATTTGGGCTGAGGGCCATCTGTGTCGTAGAGAACATCGCCAGACACTTCGCAGCCACAAACAGCAAGTGATTCAGCAGAAGGACAGGCACATGAAGTACACAGGGATATGTGACCATTGAAGATGGGTGCAAATGCTAAGTTAATTTTTTTAAACTGTAACTACAGTGCCAAGAGCCAGTTGCGCACCATAGAACACCACGCCACAGTGTGAAGAGATCTATCGCAGGTGACATAGCTGGAGTGGACAAGACAGTGCTGCTACGCGTGCTAAGCGAATAGTGTGAACAGGTATGCCGTACTGTACTGTGCTTCCGACGACTGTGGCTGAAAGGGTCTAACTTGTCAATACTAATCAACGCACGCCTACGCCCACGTCTACGCTCAGTGTATCATGGTACAAGACACATTTATCAAAAAAGGCTTCTGACGTAATCGGATGTCTGAACATCACAAACGCACATCATTTTACGACACACACACACACACACACACACACACATATATATATATATATATATATTCATATGTATAGGCAGACTTCATACACGTGTAATCGCATACCTGAACATAACACGTACATCATTTTACCAAATATATATAAATATAAATATTAACATAAATATATATATATATATTTGTACATATACATATACATATACATATATATACATATGCCGGAGTACCGAACTTTGGAGTAGAATTTGGCCGTGTGAATTATCGAAATTATTGTGAACCAAAATTATATATATTTTCACACACACAAATATATACTAGGGCCCTAATCGTTACATCTAATGTTTACCAACTTCATATCATTCTACAATTAAAGAATTCTATCGTTAACTTGCATTGATTTCAGAATCTCACAATATATATATATATATATATTCATGTGTGTGGGTTGACATCATACCCAACATAGCCCCGCGCCAACACCTACAAATTCGGCGCAAACAGAGGTGTCACAACGTTCACACTGACATTGGGGAAAGTATCCATTCGCGATGGTGGCGTACACCATCTCACAAATATACATGTACCCTAAAACCATCTCGCAAACATACGTGTACCCTAAAACCAGCTCACAAACCACACACCTCGGGAAACGCCTCTGAGTTCAGCGGACACATGTGCGCCACATCCTTCACATTGACATTAGAAAACACCAGTTTGCCATGCGAGCTGTATATCACCGCCGGTCTATCACTCGCCGCAAACACGCACTCGCGTCCATTGGTACGGAATAGCGACAATTCTATGGGCTGCGTTGCCAAGGTCACGTGTTTCCTGTCCGTCAGCATGTATGTGACTTCGGTGTCTGTTGAGGTGTTGATACCATCATCTGCGGTTATGGCTGCTTGGTTCGGTGCTGCACGCGTGTGCGTGCGTGTGAGCATTAGGTACGAAGAGAAAAAGAGAGTGAGTGTTTAAAAGCTTAACTTGCCATTTGCTACCACACCAAAGATATTCTATCAAAACTCCCGGTCATATCGGTCAATTTATCGACAATATTATTATGTAGAAAAACAAAAAACAGACAGTTTAAGTAAGACTTCAGTGCTTTTGGGACTGATAGTGCTCACCTATCCAAATAATTGCATAGACATACCGAAGTATTTACACGCATAAACAATTCTATGTGGACACACGCATAGATATCACTACCTAGGATATACACATAGACGATACTATAAAAAGGCACGCATATACAGTACTATCTAAATATTTCTAAATACACGCATAGACATTACTAACAAAGTACACGCACATATATTTGAATCTAGATATAAGCATAGGCATGTCGATACTCCAGAGGTTCGCAGACACACTTACAATACACCACACTACATTAGCAAGAGAAAGACTATTGTAAAGACAATAGCCATACCACATGTATATACACTTTTGTAAGTGTATTTTTACTTTCGTTCACATCATCCGCAAGCAAACCACCAAGGCGAACACACTCAACATGACAATATATGTAAATATTTATATGTATGCTTATACTCTAGCATGCATACAGAAACAATCATCTTCATAGTGAATTGTGTATAAGTTCCATTTCACTCTAGCATGCATAGAAACAATCATCTTCACATACCCAGGGTGTAGTATACTAGAGTCCCGTCTCCGAGTGCGCAGATTACCCTCATGTCCATATCATCCAATCGAGAGACTACCAGCGAACGCGGGATAATGTCTCCACCAATGTCAACCTGAACATTGATGGGCGGGTGTCCGTTACAACTCAGTGGCAGAGCCATTTATGAACAGTGTACTGCAATGAGCATAACGAGCACGAGAAGTGCGGACGTGTTGCTGAGCGAACCATACGCCATGCACGTGATCATTTCGAGCAGTAGTTCATACGCAATACATTGACGGCATAAAAGTAGCTGAATCGGACGTGTATATAACAATACTTTTGCAAGCCAATAATTTGTCCTAAATATAGCGCGGACGCGACTACACAAAATGAAATGCACAACCTAATACTGATCAGCTATAGCTCGTATACATCACGAACACATTTAGTGCGACAGAATATATGCATATACATACATATATATATACAGTCACACACACACACACACACACACACACACACACATATATATATATATATGTATGCATATGTATATATACGTATATATATGT